ACACGTTCGTACCTATTAGAAGTCCAAAATCCAATGAAAAGCGATTGGAAAATTCCTTGGAAAATCCGGCCAACTCTGCAACTCTTCAAACTCACCTATTCTAACGTCCACTCCACTCCAAATCTACTCTAAAGTGCTAGGGAAGTTGCATAGAGACCATCCCGAGCCTCAAAAACCTTGTAAATCATCTGTGATCATGCCGGAGCAAACTAACTCCTTGTCGGAGCTTCTGGTTTCCAAGCTAAAACTCACCAAAATGGAAAAGTAAGGGTATGATGGTGATCGTGTGGTCGAGATGAGGAGGGTGGTGGTTTCCAAAAGTTTGATCCATGTGAGTTTGATGATGGTTGTGTATGTGGGTTGTCTCGGGTGTACGGAGGGAGAGAAGGAAGAGTGAGTGTGTGTGTGTGTGCGCACGCGTGTGTGTTCTGATCGACTAAGAGAGAGAGAAAGCTAATTTTAATTGGCCCAAAAGAAGAAAAACAAATTACCTGATTGGGCTAAAAGAAATAGGAGCTCATATAATTGGTCCACAATTTGCCCATTTACGCACCTAAATAATAGAGGTGGGCACAGTTTGGTTTGGTGCGGTTTTGAGTGAAACCGAAACCGAAACTGGATTTTTTTGCGGTTTGGTTCGGTGCGGTTTTGAAGCCAAAACCGAAATGAAACCAAACCGTTTAGTTCGGTTTGGTGCGGTTTCAAACAGTTTCGATTTGGTTTCAAACCATTTAAATACAAAATGAAAAAAAATCTCTTTACCTTCCTCTCTCCCCCACTTAACAACATTAGTATTTTTAAGAAAAAAAATATACAATCTAAAACCTTATTTCAAACCATTTTCAAACATTTCCTGATGCAAAGTCAATGTGCATACTCAAGCCTTCAAAGGACTTAGCACCCCAGTAAGGCAGCAAATGCCTTCTATTTCTGATAATATCACTGAAGGGCAGTAAATACCTGCAACTAATCTGCAGCAAATAAAATTACTGGATTTTCTAAAGATAGTATGACATGAATGAATTAAAATTTGAGAAACTAGATTGGTGAAATTACGAAACATGCCAGACAATACAAAATATGAAACAAAATATAACCCTATATAAGTCACACACACAAAATAAAGTGTGCACACCCTAATTTAACCGACACCAATGGCATTCCTCTGCCCTTGATTACACACCCTAAATAAATCAGACAAAGTCTACATGTTTTAGAAAAGGCCTAACCGAATCAAATACACAAAATAGCAATTAAACAAATTGATACACTTCAATCGTGTTTTTTTAATACTTGTAGTGCGGTTTCCAAAAGCCAAAACCGAAACCAAACCGTTTCCCTACATTGCGGTTCGGTTTCAAACTGAAACCGTTTCAAAACCGCAAAATCAAACCGTTCGGTGCGGTTTGATTTGATTCGTGTTTCGGTTTCGGTTTTCGATTTTAAGTGCCCACCCCTACTAAATAATCGTAACTTTTTCGTTGCAGCTCCAATTCGGTTCTAACTCGCTTTAACGCACTTGAGACGTCGAGTACGATTTAATTACGATAGCGAAAATAATAATTTAAAACTGCATATACACATCCACTTCACTTAGCCAATGAAGGCATATTCGTCACAACTACAACCGACACAGGCTTTGAAAATTATTTAAAAACAATCATTAGTGTCGGCCAGAAGCGACACCAAGTATTTTTTTAACCAACGCTAACGTTATGTCAGTTAAAAGCGACACAGTTTTTTTTTTATGCGATTCCACTATTAAAAAAATATTAAAATATATGTCGGTTATAAGCGACATTAACAGTTTATGTCAGTTACTACCGACAGTAATTCCAACACCATGTTAAGTAGGTGTTGAAATATCTTATCCGCCACTATGTTATATAAAATCGATACCAACCACTGACACAATAAGCCCTTTTGTAATAGTGAATTGCTTTTTTTTGATGGAAAAGAATGACGTCGGAAAAGAATGATCCTCAAAAGGCATTTTCCTAGAAGCGACATATGCATGAAATGAAACATTTCAAAGATGCATGCTCTTTTACTGTAGAGTTGTCTCATTCGTTCAATAGTATCCATTCTTTCCGGAGGACCTTCAAAGTTTATCAAATTATCCTAGTTTTGATGACTTTGAAACATAATATTAGTGGAGTTTCAAGGGGGCCTGTATGTAGACCTTTCAAACGTCAATTTCTAATCGTGACTTGATTAATTAGTTTTTGTACATATAGGGTAACAATTTTAATCGTGTGTATCATAATCAGAAAATCATCCGCAACAAAAATTAACTCTAGTTAGTTTGGAGGTTCATACAAAGGTCACCGTTCATTCGGGTGGTGTCGACTGAACTGAAGGGCATAAGGTTTATGTCCAGATAGCAGCAAAGTAGGATTTTGGCTAACCATTTCACATGAATCCCATTGTTATACAGAGCAGAGACGTAAAGAAAATGCAAAGCGAACCGATCTACCTAACCAGCTAATCAGACAATAGTTCCCTACTGTCTTTAAAAGTTTTTTGGCTATTTTGTTGTTAAATGTTTTTCGTGCTTCCAAAAGGTTATGATTTTGAGTTTTACTTCTTGCATCAAACTCAAATAAAATATAAGCTCTGTGCGTGACTCTTTCGCATACGTTTAATGGAGACCGAACAAACAAAGATGAATTTAGAAACATAATTAAAACGAATTGCGAACTAAAGGTGAAATTTTACTTAATATCCGAAGCTGAACATTTAGCAACGTGTGATATATACGACTATATATTTTCAACAAGGAGCTGGGTGCACCTACTTTTTCACATTCATAACCTTTGTAGGCCTCTAAAATTTAGAGTTCACTAATTTTTTTGCATGTGATCCAATATTCTAGTGGACAGGGAGTTTCCACCCATGCATTACAGGTTTGAAACTCCTTCATCTTCTAAATTATTGTAATAGTTTTGGATCCTCCCATCCCCTTAATAATAATTAAAAAAAGAAGTCTTTAACATCTGGAGGGGGCGCGGTCATGTTCAAGGATATGTGTATACATAAAAGAAAATAGTCTAGTCCAATTTTAAGTTTTCAAGACATCAATATATCTATAGGTGTTATCTGAAGGGATCTTCATTTTTTATAGGATTAGTTGTGGGTTCTACTTTACATCGAACTTTAACGATTCTAACTATTTATTTTTTGAGTCTTCATTAATAGTCATCATTGTTAAAAAAAAAAAAAAAAAAAAATCAATTCAGTCCGGAACCATTTACCCATTTGATTGTTATGATGAAATTTCAATGTTTCTTAGAACCTAATGTTCTTCAATTTCTTTGAACTCAATTAGAGATGATCTAGGAAATGCAACTAGAAAAGTAGACGGTTTGGATCATTGTAGTTTGAGGTGGAGTGGGCCCCAATTTTTTCACACAACTTTTGACACATGATTTTGTGGGGCCCACTCCACAATGTATTTTAACCATCAGTACGATCTATCTTTTAGAATATCAGTCATAGATCATCCTAACAAAAAATTAGACAAATCCAAAACCATTAAGGGTTTAGGGTTGTACAAAGAAATCTTATACCATTAATCAAACGGTCATATGATTTCAGATTTAGTGTTTTTGGTAAACATGATATTTGAGGAAAGACTTAAAAGATAGATAATTCAGATCATTGAAATACATACGAAGTGAGCTCCATAAAAACATGTGTCAAAAGTTGTTTAAAATTAAGAACTGGTGTCACGGATCCATCCTTATATATATTTTTGACACACATATTAACACATATTGTTTATGACCCACTTTGTAATGTATTTCAACGATCCAAACTGTTTATATTTTAGCACATCATTCATACATTCATAGATCACCCCTGTAAAAATTTAGACAAATACAAACCTATCAATTACATTCACTCGTAGTTAAAAAAAAAAAAAAGAACGAATACGGTTCTACAAAAGGAAAACACTAAATTTAATCTGATGGTCATATGATTTTAGATTTAAATAATTTTTTGTGGCCATAATGTTTTGAAGATTTTAATCTACCGATCCAAATATACTAGTCTACTCAAAACGTAGTGACCAATGAAATGAGTTCTTTGTAATTGCACACCAACTTAAGGTAATTGACCAACCAATGGAGATATAACACGGTCGTTTGACAGCTTTTACATCCTATTTTACGTTTATCAACCTAATATCCTAACATTAAAAGAAAAAGAAAAAGAAAAAGTTAAAATACAATTCCAAAGCGTGGATGGTTTATCTTCTTCCCTATGAGTGAAATAAAAGTTATATAAATCAGAAAACGTATCGGTCAAGTTTATCTGTAAATCCAAGCCACGAGACTCTTGACTTTTATCCAAGCGCCATTTCCTCGAACGTTCACAAAAAGCAGTGACCCACAGATACTTTGGGCTCCAAGCAAATGTCAGAAAAACTTTTGATTTCTTTAAACCCTAATCCGATGACTAGGATATAAAAACCTTTTTTTAAGGGGCAAGTAGGATATAAAAACCTTGGTGAACATCTTTGAAAGCGAAATTACACGGACAATCCAACGGTGTTCCTTGAAGCGATTTAAAAAGAAAGACGTATTATGCATCCAGTGTATGACATCTCCAACGGCCATTGGGCCACCAAGGTGAATTGTTACATTCATCTGTCAGAAGAATCAACATGCTGACACGTGGACAATATCCTTCAATGATATCAGAAGCTGATGTCACTACAAATTTCTCTCTGACTTGGCCGCCATGCTTCAATTGACCCACGTGCTCAAATTCATCCAACTTGTGTGGCACCCCACAATAATACAATAATACAAAAACCTAATAAAATATGGCCCACCACATATATTTTAATATGATCCACCTGCCTGCTTTTACCATTTCACCCTTGTAATTTTACCCCTACCTTTAGGCCATTTTAACCTGGGATCCTGTTGGCCTCTATTGGTCCGCATATGCGGGACCCATTGGAATTGGGTATATATGATGGACGAGGGTGCAAATCTTTAGCTTACCAACATGCATTGCCACAAACACACAAACACATAGAGAGTATTCCAAGCAGAAAACAAAAACACCCCAATTCTTCAAATGAATTACTCTACTTTTGATTCTCCATACTCCAATTTGTCACCTGAATCTTCGTTTGGATCATCATTTTCTTGGGATGATGGTCTTAAATTTGGCAACAATTCCCTTCCTTTCAATGAAAATGACTCGGAAGAAATGCTTCTCTACGGTCTGATTTCCGAGGGCACCCAAGAAATCACATCAAGCGTCTCTGTTTTTGCAAACCCAATTAAAGAAGAGGAGGTGAGCTCCGCATCTGAAGAAGAAAACCTGAAAAAGGAAAAGTCCTACAGAGGGGTTCGGAGGCGGCCGTGGGGCAAGTTTGCTGCAGAAATAAGAGACTCCACTAGACATGGCATAAGGGTGTGGCTAGGCACATTTGACAGTGCTGAAGCCGCAGCTCTTGCCTATGATCAAGCTGCCTTTTCCATGCGAGGCTCTGCGGCGGTTCTCAATTTTCCAGTTGAAAGAGTCCGCAAATCGCTTAGGGAGATCAATTATGGTACCTCAGATTTGGAAGGTTGTTCGCCGGTGGTGGCTCTTAAGCGAAAGCACTCCATGAGAAGGAAAACTGGGAACACGAAAAGTAAAGTGGACAGAGATGTGAGGATAGAGAATGTGGTGGTGTTTGAAGACTTGGGAACGGATTACTTGGAAGAACTGTTAAATTCATCCGAGAGTACAAGTACGAATGCCACTCCTAATTGGTGAATTAACCAAAACGGCAAATTTATCTTTGTTGAATTATCTGTTTTTTTGTTTGTTCGTTTTTCTTAATCAATCTCTTTTGTAATTGTATGAACCATGATGTCCAATCTTTTGTTTTTGCTGTAAAGTTTGCAAAAAGATAAAAGGTTACGTATTAATGTGTCCTAGTTTTTATTTTGTGGACTCAATTAATTGAACCTTGAGGCGACTCTTGTTTTGAAATTTGATTAGGTCATTTGTAGGGCTAGGTGACTCCATAAAATGACATTGGCTCATGCACGCCTGCACTACTACTCGAGTGACATACATGGATGGGATTAATTGAACCATCAAGGTTAAATCACTCTAATAGTATACTTTTCAGTCATCACATTCTAAACATTATATTTGATCAGTAACCATACATAAAATCCTATTACACGTTCCTTTCACAACCAACTTTTGTAGGGCTAGTTTTGCATGCTCAAGAGATTCTTATGTATCTAGTAAATTATGTTGGACTCCAACACACAATATATTTATATGAAATACAAAATCATATATCATTTGCATATGCATGTTGCGCCGCGTTGAACTTTTACACATAATGTAAGAAATCTAAACTCAGAGCATGTACTTGGGCTTGGTGCCCAAATGCATTGCTTCAGGCATGTTCAAGAATTTTACTTTCTTCAGCAAGCTGCTAGAAACTAATATTTTCGTTTTCAAAGTGCACTATATACATGACTTAAAAAGGAGACTAAAATCAATGGGCTGATTGTTGGTTGGTGGACACGTACTAATAATACTACTATCTTCCAAAAGAGAAGGCACCGGGCAGCTGAAATATCAAGGGCATATGCATATTAACATATAGCCATGACCAGCTAAAGAGCTGCAACTTGCTCAATTTGTCATCAATCAAAATCTGTATCAAAGTTTTCTTGGTATTTCATAGCATTTTGTCAATAAGGATTAAGGACTCGTAAGTGCGGGAACATGTATAAATTAATCATGCAATAAATTCGAGGAGTAGTATGCAAAACAATATCAACCATGTGTGTGCGGAGAAGGGAAAAAGAGTGAGATAAGCACGGATCCAGCACTGTGTTTTGGTCGAATTTCAAAGAACAGAAGCTTCTCAAGGGTAATTCAGTCTTTATAAATTTGGGTTGGACAATATCTGCTACGTACGACTTTCTAATTCATGCTGTTATAATAATAATAACATACAGATAATCTAAGCTTATATATTAGATTCACGTCGGGTCCAATTTGATCAAATGCTATATATATATATATATATATATAAAGAATGTTCTAAAAGATGCTATACGCTAGTTTGGCAGCGGGCTGAGGCCTAGCGCTTAGGTGGACTAAACGAATTTAAGTAACTATATTATATTTCGTGTAAATAAGTGTTAGCTTATACTTAATATATATATATATATATAATTTCATCATAAACGACAAATTAGAATGACATATATATTATGAAGTATTGGAACATAATGAAAACATGGCGACCAAGAATATAATGTGTGTTTATTGAAGTATGCAACAAATCTCTTATAATTTATTCAAAAAAATAAAATGCAAAATTAAAATTATATATTGTCTATCTAATTGAGTTGCAACCTAGATGGTCTAGGCGGGCCCCTCAGCAGGTCTATGCAAGCGCCTCAACAAGTTTGGGCACCATTTCTTAATTTTCAAATGCTTAGGCATTAATCGGGATAGTGACCAGCCGCCTAACGCCTAAGCGGGGCTTAGGTGGAAATTTTTAGACCAATGTATATATATGTGAAATATAATAATATTTTGTATTTACATTCTCTGCATCAAAAATATGGTAACTGCATGAATTTGTGGAACATTCATAACCATAAAATTTGTCACGTGAATTTCTCAATTGCACCCGATAAAGTTGAAGCTCAAAGTCTTGGCGGTCAAAATTCAACCAAGTCATTCAAATGGTGTGCTCACTGAAATTTTCCATGTCAGAAACCTAATTAAGCATTATATTCAACGGAAAATTATGATTAAAATTGATAAGTGAGGTGTTAGTATCGTATGGTTAGCTAAACTTGACTGCCCTTCATGAACAGAGGTATTGAGAATATTTAGAAAACAGATAAAATTCTCATTTAACTGGGTTTTGTCAAGAGGATAAATTCTTTTAGTTATCATCACGGAAATTTACTGCTGGTTCCTACAATTATTGCACCGATGGTGCAAAAGATATCGATATCTCACATTCGAAGGCCATGCATATGCACCCACATCGAGTTAGGATTAATTTTTAATATACACACTTCATTGAGTTAGGATAAATGAAAAAATTAATTTTGTGGTAGCAAAAATAGAAGAAAGAATGCTTTTCAAGTATATTCTATTCTTCTCATTTAGAGGTATATATAAATTATATACAATCCTATCATAAAGGGGAAAGAATAATTACAAGAGATACACCCTAAACTAGGAAACCCAAGATTATAGGAATCCTCAGATTAAAAGGATTCTAATACAAAGTCAACACTGCCCTCAAGTTGGTGCATATATGTTACACATGCCCAACTTGTCTAACAACCTTGAGAACTTGTCACTAGAAACAGCCTTAGTGGGCATGTGACTTGATCGTTGGTCCCGATCGGGGGAACTTTGATTACTTTTCCTTCCAACTTATCTTTAATGAAGAACCTATCAACCTCCACATGTTTCCTATCATATTGTACTGGATTATGAGCAACATCAAGTGCAACTTTGTTGTCACAGAATAACCTCATTGGCTGACTATGTTTGACCTCCAAATCTTGTAACAAAAACTTAAGCGACAAAAGTTCACAAATACCAGGTGCCATACCTCTATATTCGGCTTTTGCGCTTGACCATGCTACTACATTTTGCTTCTTGCTTCTCTATGTCACTAGATTACCTCCAACAAAAGTGAAATCCAAATGTCGAACATTTATCATTTGTCGAACCTCCCAGTCGGCATCTGTATATCATTCTTTTTTGAAATGCTCATTTTTCCTGAACAAAATCCCTTTTCCTGGACTTCCCTTCAAATAACACAATATTCTCATAACCTCACTCATGTGTTGTTCTCCAAGATATTGCATATACTGACTGACCACACTCAGTATGAGCAAGATCCGGTCTCGCATGGGCCAAATACATTAACCTCCCAACTAACCTTTGATACCACCCTTTATCTACCAGTACTTGATTCTTATCTATACCCAACTTTATTCCTTCAACCAACAGAGTAGTCACGAGTTTGCATGCTGACATACTGGTTTCTTTCAATAGATTAATAATATATTTTCGTTGGGACAAAAATATCCCGGACTTGCATCTTGATACCTCAATCCCAAGGAAATATTTCAGAGAACCAAGATCTTTCATCTCGAACTCTGTGGATAAATACTTTTGCAAAGCCGTTCACTCAACTAGTCAATTACCTGTAACCACCATGTCGTCCACATATACGATGAGTGCTATAATCTTCCTATTCTTACGTTTCAAGAACAAAGTATGATCCCAATTACTTTGTCTATATCTGAATGCCTTCATTGACTTAGTAAACCTACAAAACTAGGCACTTGGAGACTGCTTTAACCTGTACAATGACTTCTTAAGCCTACACATATTTCCCTTCTGTATGCCTGTACCATTACATCTTGGTGGAAGATCCATATAAATTTCTTCAGTTAAATCTCCATGTAGAAACACATTTTTGACGTCGAACTGTTGCAGTGGCTAATCTAAGTTAGCCACCAAGGATAGTAGAACACAAACTGTATTGATCTTGGCCATCGATGTGAAGGTATCTGTGTATTCTATGCCATATTTCTAGGTATATCCATTTGCTTTAAAGGGATCCACTGTTCCATCTGCTTTGTATTTCACTGTACATACCCATTTGCATCTTACAGGTTTCTTGCCCGTTGGCAAATCCAATATTTCCCAGGTAGCATTCTTCTTCAACGATCTCAATTCCTTGCTCGTCGCTTATTTCCATCGATGATCAGCTAAGGCTTCCTGCACATTGTTAGGAATATATATACAGTAGATAATTGATACACAAATGACTTATTTGATTCATACATGTGACAAGTAGACAAATAACTGTTTGATGGGTACCTCACTCTAGCGTTCGAATTTGGTTCACTCACTGAATATTTATTTTTACACTTACGATCCGCCTCTTAAATGGGTTTAGGAATACCTTGGTTAATACGCTCTGGAAGATGACGAAGTGGTGGTCCATCCAGCATAGAAGGAGATTGGTTATAGGTATCACTGAAAGACAAGTCCATATGCTCGGTTTCTCCTAAAATTGTGGGTTGCAGTTACAGTGGGGTGTCACTATCACGAGATATTTGCTACTTTTCTATCTCCAACAACAAGATCGTGGGCTTTCCTATCGTGGGCTCTCCTATCATGGCCTCTTCAGTTTGTTGTCCCACGGGCCAGGTTTCCTGCAGTCCTGTGGGCCTATCATGGTCAGCAGGCTGTTGTCCAGTCAGCCACTAGTCAGTAGGCTGTTGTTCATTACCATAATTAAACGTCTGAACTTCATCGCCTCGGAACTTCCCCTGAAGTGAGGACTCAGATGAACCAAAATAGATTTCTTTTTCATGGAAACTTACAACTGGAGTAATAAACATTTTCTTAGTCAGAGGATGATAACAATGATAACCCTTTTGAGTAGTAGCATACCCCATAAACACATAACGAAGGGCTCGAGGCTCAAGTTTACCTTGTCATTAGTGGACAACTAGTCAGAGACATAAGGGCCTGAAACGGTGTCTAAAAGCCGAGAGTGGGAGAAGGGTGATGATTAATGAGATACACAATGGACGTGAGTGCTTTACGCCAATAATGCAGTGGAAGGCGTGCTCAAGAAGGGAAGCACGTACCACCTCTAACAAGGGTCTATTCTTTCGTTCGGCCAACTCATTCTACTAGGGAGTATACGGGCATATGGTCTGATGAACAATACTGTGCATATCAAGAAAAGAACGAAGTTCTGTATGAACATACACTCCTCCATTGTCATTTCGAGGAACCTGGATATTCATATTATACTGCACATCAACCATTTTGTGTAACTTTTGAAAGGTCGAACTAACTTTGCTTTTCTATTTTAACAAAATAACCCAAGTCATTCTCG